CCCTACACCCCCTCCCTATCTCTGTAACCTCCTCCAGCCCCTACACCACCTCCCTATTTCTGTAACCTCCTCCAGCTCCTACACCCCTCCCTATCTCTGTCACCTCCTCCGGCCCCTACACTGCATCTGTATCTCTGCAACGTCCCTCAGTTCCTATAACACTCCGAGTTTTCTGCACTGTCCTAATTCCAGCCTCTTGAACCTCCCCAATTCCTATCACCCAGACACTGGCGGCTGTGCCCTTAGCTGCACAGGGCACTGAGCTACCAAATTCCCTGCATAAACCTCTTGACATCACTCTCTCCCCAGGCAAGGGAAGAAAGAACATTAAAAATCTCCCTCTTTGACCAAGATGTTGGTCACCCGTGCTTGAAAGTCCTCACAACGTCACGTGGTGTCAAAATTGATCATGTTGACATTGCAGTGAGGCCATCTATTGTCAAAACACTATATAAATGCAGGTGGAAGGTTCACACATCAGCTTCAAAAAGGAGATAGCTACCTTTTGAGTTCATCCTCAGTGTCACAGCCAGAATCATCATCAAAACTCTTCCCTGTAACTGGTAATAAAAGAAAACAAACAAATAAACCAACCAGATTAGGAAGCCATTTTCACACCTAGCCACCCAGAACTCGCGGTTATTTTACTGGCGATTAAGCAAAACCAGAATCTCAGCTGTAGATTAGAGGAAGTAGAATTTGTTTTCGGGCACAGATAAAGGAGAAATGGACGGACCATTTAGTTTATCATGACCGTGCTGGGTCTCGGATCTCTCTCATTGCTCGCCAACTCCCACACAACCCACACTTTCTGGAGGGATAGAGAGATAGGGAGGGGTGTAGGGGCTGGAGGAGGTTAGAGATAGGGAGGAGATGTAGGGGCTGGAGGAGGTTACAGAGATAGGGAGGGGGTGTAGGTGCTGGAGGAGGTTACAGAGATGGGGGGGTGTAAAGGCTGGAGGAGGTTACAGAAATAGGGAGGGGTGTAGGGGCTGGAGGAGGTTACAGAG